TGATACTTCTCTTGGATATTCTAGCAGAAATCAAGGCATGATATTACAATCGCATATCTCTAATGATAGAAATCAATGTGATAATTGTTCATAACGTAGTTCGTGTCTCTTATTCCGGAAAAGACGGAAATAATGTGTACGAAGTCATGATCTGTGGACCATATATTGTATGTCTATGTTTGAACATATATTTTTTTTCAGAAGAGGTGTTGGTTGTTTGGTCTGTTGTACTGTTGAAAGTTTTTGGTAAATCCTGTTATCCTTTTTATGTATTATTAACAAACTTCCGAAAAAATAACTATTTCCATTAAATAAGCAAAAAATTCCGATAGTCTCTATCCATAAACATTTGAGTATTACTTTCAGCAATTGCTGTAAATGGACTGATCATGTTTTATATATTTCATAAATATATCCAAAACTAAATGTACTGAATAGATAAAAAAATAAGCTTACTAGTTCAAAATTAGAAATTCTATTTCTAATTTACATAACAGAATTTTCCCGCTGTTTGAATAGAATAGCATGAAAATAATGTATTGTCAATTTGTATATCATAAATATGCATTAGTCCGGAAAAAATCGAAGAATCAGGAAATCGGATTTTTTTACGTTAGTTAGTGTGTTTCGTGAGCCCATCACTTTCTAGTCGTCGTTCAACACAGTAAGCTCCTGTTTTATCATTGCTTTGTAAATTGTTTTTAATTTTCAACTTTTATTTATTTTATAAGTTAATGATGAAATCAGAAACATTTATCCCGAGATAGCTTCGATCCTTTGCATTGCATACAGATTTCCATTTGTTCATACTTATATAAAAAAAAGAGTGTTTCTTTGGTTTTTCATGGAAGACATTGACTATCTTTGACGGGTTAGTTCGTAGAGTTACAAGCGATTAAACTGTTTTAAAGACAAATTATTTTTGAATATGTTCTTAAAATTGTGAAGAAATGCATTAAACAAACGTACAATATTTTTTTTAAACACAAATTGATAAACAGTTTGTCAGTCAAATATATGTCATTAAAATGTATATTTTTTATCAATATTCATATAAATATTTCAGTATCATTCATACTACTCAAAGCGAAACTATTGTTCAATTCTTTTAAAAGTATTTCAATTTTTGTATAGAATCTATAGAATTTGATATTTGTTGTATTTCTAATTATATCAATTGTCTTTCTTTTATTTGTGAATAACTATTTTTAACAATTATTTTTCTTTTTGTTATAATAGGCTTTTGTCCGACATTTAATCATACTTATTGAATATTATGTAATTCGCGCTCGCTCTTCACGCCTCTATCAACCAATCCATGAAATATTAATCTGCACATCAACATTTGTCGAAATATTGAGAGTAACTTGATGATTTCATATTAAAGTTGTTAAGATATTTGAATTAACTCTCGCTGCTATATAGCCTTTTTGTGTCAACATCAATCAATCAATCAATCATATTTGATATAGAATGTGAAAAAATACTTGATAAATTCAAAATCACAACCGGATTTGTACGTGTCTTGAGCAACATGATAGGTGCCCCTAATGGAGCAGTAACTGCTAACGCTTCCTGAGAATATTAGTTCATCCATGTTTTAGTTTTGTTCGTGTTGCTCAAATTGTAGTTAATTGTATAGTGTTTAATGGACTTGTGTTAATATGTTGGTATTTTTTTTAGAAAATACTTGTCATACATATTCAGGACCAGAACAATTTAACACTACATTCATTTGTTATGTTTTGCAAAATTGATCGACCAGAATGAAAGGCGACAAGTTATAACCACAAAAGAAAAAGAGAGGGGTGAATAGTTGCATTGCAGCATGCTACATATGGACCACTGAAAAGGACTTTTCACAAGTTTTCTGTGTCGAACAGAGTGAGAGTGGTACTATCCCTATGGCTGCTACTTAAATTGAGAATCGAAACGGGGAATGTGTCAAAGAAACAACAACCCGACCAAAGAACAGAAAACAGCCCAACGCCATCAAAGACTTTATAAAACGTCACCAGTATCTGAACAGAAAGTTGATGAACCAGGATTACGTCAAAGAACGTCTTGTCCTTTTTCTAAAAAAAAGTTCATCGAAAGATATAAAATATAAATATTCCGTATGAACTTCACAAACAATACATGATGTTCTTGAAGTATAGATTCTAGGTACTGGCGTTGTTTGTAATCTTAATTGCGTGTTCTGGTGTTCTTTTTATTGGCTTTATATATTTTTAACCTTTACTGTTTATTCTTTTTTGGTAATATCCTTTCAGCGTGGCTCGGTATTTATACATCCCGCCATTGTGTTATTGTGCTATTGTCAATTTTTATATGATTGGCTTTCATTTTTGCTCATGTGCTTTGTCTATAGAGTGTCTTTATGCCATTTTGTTTTTCTTTGTTGACATAGTTGTTTGTTTCTATAGTGATTAAGATTATAACACAATGTTGACTGCTGTACCCCAATTTTTGACATTTTTACCTATTATGTCTCTTTGTTTTGCGCACACATTGTTGTCAATATAATAGAATTATATGCGACTGCCAAACAAGTGAGAGGTTAATCCAAAATTTTCTACATAAGGAAATGCCTGTACCAAGTCAGGTATATGACTGTTGTTTTCCATTCGTTTGATGTGTTTAAGCTTTTGATTTTGTTATTTCCATTTGAAATTTTCCTTGGAGTTCGGTATTTTTGTTATTTTACTTTTTTACCGTATTTTACGTTCTCGTTCCGACCGGACGTGCTGCGTATTTATACCTGCGCATTTAAACTGACAACCCTCGTTAGCATGGGTTTTTCTTCCGGGTGAGAAAAGTCCAAGCTAAATATTTCTTTCCATTGTTAATCCTTGGATTTAATGTACACAATCGACTTAAATGTGATAACGTATGTGTGTATTCGAACATCAACAAATTGATGCCAACATCTGCATGGTTCTTACTGTCTGCTGGCGAGATTAATTTGTATTATCGATCATCAAAATCAGCTATAGGATTATTGGCGCTATGGGTTTTATTCATATTAAGTGGCCAATATCCAATATGTCAATAAGAAAAAATTAAAAAGCATTTTTACTATCACCGGAAAAAGAGGTAATATTAGAGAGGGTATAAATCATGACTTGCAACAGGCCATCTGTTGCTCAAAGAATAGTTTTCTCTTACGTCAAGACAGAAAGACACTCTTCTATTCCGATCGGACGTGACTGTGAACTTATTCATCCCACATAAGTAAACGGATTCCCCTTTTTAGCGTGGGTTTTACGGCCAGGGTGAAACGTCTAGATGACCCTATTTCTTTACCTCATGTACACATTGTTACAAATAGCTGTCTCGTGTATATTTTATCATTGGTGTGCCCGTTTGACTGCGCTAGATGTACATTTTTTAACACACTGCCCCGTCCGGTTAGAATGGAGGCGTTATATTTGATGCACCATATTGAGAGAGTACCAAGTTCTCTATACTTTATAGTACCCTTGCAAATACTCTTTGAAGGGTCCGTAAGTTGTGCGTTTTATTGTAAAATTTCAGTCATATTCAACTTTCCCTATTTTTGTTCATCCCTTGAACATGAATTGAATAATTGGCATTGGACGCTGATAAGTAATCAACAATAAATGAATGATATATGATATTGGTAGCCGAGCCAGGGTTGCATAGGGTTTTCACAATACATTTTTCCATTGGTAGCCAGCCATGTTTGCACAGGGTTTTCACTACTAGTATATATTTGTTTTTCTATTAGTAGCCGAGCCATGGTTGCACAGAGTTTTACTATACACTTTTTAATTAATAGCCGAGTCTAGGTTGCACAGGGTTTTACTATACAGTTTTCCTTTGGTAGCCGATGAATGGTTTCACGGGACTTTCGCAATATATTTTAACGTCTTGGGTAGGAACCTAATTTTTAATAATTGCAAATTTAAATCGTTCTTTAAGCGGAATTTGACCTAGTGATGTTTCCAGCCAAAGACAAATCGTATAATTTGGTAACATAAAATGTCGTTTTTGCTATTCGGGCGATGCATTTTCTTATCCGCTTTATCTAACAGTCGTAATCTAGGGTGGTAACATAATACATATACGGTGTCCTTGAAGACGCCACAGCCGTTGGTAACGTTCCATTGCAAAACCTGAATGAGAGATATATCTTCGCCTGGAGATGGCCAATGTCAAACCACAATTTTTCTTAATAAACCAACGAAATATATCCACCGGAGCTGATTGTTACAAACATTATTAATGACTGATGTTCATTTTCAGACGTTGATATTAGAATTTCTCATGGTTAAATTTATACCTAAATTTATGATAAACAGGACGACTATTTTCTTGTTGTTTATTTTCCTTTCCTTGATGGTAATGTTCCGTTGGCTCCATTTTTTAGAGTATGGATATCGCAGTTCGTTAAATATGCACGTGTTTGGAGTGATGGTTCAGATTGAATAAACAAATAACAGTCCTAATCCGATTACACTATAAGGGGTGTCAATGTCAATTAGCCTGAACAAATCGGCTTACGTGTAAGGAATTAAGCAGCTGGTATTTGGATAAATATTGCGGTATTTACGTTTGTTGTGTGGTGTTTAAAACAGTTGCAGTTGTGTATGAGAGAATTATTTGCAAGACAAGTATTGGCTTCCTGTCTATGCCCATCACTACTTGTCACCCGATACCACTATAATTAAAAAAATAAAGTACCATATTGCTGAAATAAACATTTCGTAGTTCAATGAATAACTTTGTGTGAACTCAATCATGTCCGGTGATTAGTGTGACGTTTAATATCTATTGTCGAATTGTCAAAGGTATTAAAATCCATGGGAGGATTTATTTTACTTTACTATTTCTTTAAATGGTGATTTTAAAAGCTCATAGTGAAAACTCAATTAATATTATTGAATAAGATTCATTTAATTGTTTACACAAATTTACTATCTGGATTGTTTTCGGAATATTTCAATCATCATTTACAATTTAATTATCTAATGACATGTGACATACCCTAATGGTAGTAATGGAACTACCTTTATCAGCTGTAATAAATTTCATGGAAGTATTCTACTGTGAAAAGTTCTTTTAGATGAAATGATTCTATGTTATTTGGAATAATGAATTACATGCCTATAAAATATATAGTTTGGATCTTAATTTATATTTTCCTTCCTGGAATACAATGTCAAAGTCACGCTACTGTACAAAATCTGTATTCTCATTTGTTAACAAACTACACCAAAAGGATAATGCCATTAGCTGATCATTCTCAACAGCTAAATGTTGGGGTAGACTTTTACTTAAATTCTTTCGTATCCATCAGTGAAGTTGACGAAACCATTTCCATCATGGGATGTGTGTTACTAAATTGGACTGACCCATCGCTCCAGTGGGACTTTTTGTCTTTTGACAACTTGTATGTTATAGTAATAGACCCATCTGACATCTGGACACCACAAATGTTTCTTGCAAATGTGGTAGATGATATGGAACCTATTGGACATGGAGTTACGTTTTATTCTACTCTACTTTACACTGGAGAGGTTTACTATAGCCCAGGAGGAATAATGAAGGCGAAGTGTCCTACTAATGTTGCAAAATTTCCTTTCGACACACAGGAATGTAATTTATTTTTTTTCAACTGGGGAATAATAGAATCTAAGTTAACATTGTCCGCTTTGCCTGACCAAGCGAGGTTAGACTGGTATACTCCGAATTCGGATTGGACCCTTTTAGAATATTCAACATTTGTAGAGTCATACAACGATTATAGCAGGTTCAACGTAAATATAAAAATCAAGCGTAAGCCTTTGTATTACGCCGTGATGATGATTTTACCAACTCTGCTATTTGCTCTCTTGAATCCCTTGGTGTTCGTTATTCCAGTGGAATCAGGTGAACGTGTTTCTTTAGCAATGACAATATTACTTTCCTATGCCATATTTTTAACTTTAGTGTCCGCCTCTATTCCAACATCTTCCAATCCAATGTGCGTACTTTTAGCTGTCATGATAACAATAATTTCACTTAGTGGTTTTATTGTCGCCAGTGTCATAGTTATTTCTAAATATTATTTTGCGGAAACAACAGTGGAATTCAATTCACCACTGAAGAGATTGGCAAAATGGAGGTTGAAGAAAAAACGAAATGTTGTATTACCGATGGATGATCACAAGAAACAGATTGATGGAATAGATATAAAAATATCGGGTAAGGATGTGGCAAACGCTTTAGATTTTATTTGCCTGTGTGTATTTTTTGCCGCTATTTTGGTGTGTTTGACGGGATATTTCATCTACGTTTTGATATAAATGTAACTTTGAATCATTCTGTGAGAGATAAAACGACATTGCAGGACAATATATGATTGTAAAATAACAGAATATATGAAAGTTTGTTGGTGACACAGAAACCAATAAAACACGATTATGGATAGGTAATTTCGTCATTTTAACTTTAATTGTTTTCCATGGTCGCCATCAAACATTTTGTTCTGTTTCAAATGAAATCAAATCAAACTGAAAAGTTGTGTAGTAACGTCCTTATGAATTGATATCAATTTATAGTGTAAAAAGATCACTTGAATGTTTTAACATTGTCATTAAATATAACATTTTTAGTAAAATATTTGAAATGATAAATTGATTGATTGTTGCTTGCTTATAATTTCACCGTTGTTTTTCTTTTAACATTTTTGAAATATAAGATTTACAACATTTCATTAAAACATGTGACATCCTATTGATTTATTTTACGCGTATCTCTCAACAATGTTTATTTAAAGCGATGTTCGATTTCTTTGTCATTGATTTATACACCATATCCATTTTTTTTACATTACATCGACTGAGTTTATAGCTCGTGCTTTGTGGAGGCTGTTATCAGTTTCCCCGACATGACGAAATTTGAAACACTTTAAATCGGAAAATCAATAGCACGATTCATGACAACAACAAAAATGACAGACAGCAACCAACGACAGCCGTTCTGCTTTAGTTTATTGCCAGTTTTTTGGAAATAAAAGTTTTCTAAACTTGAACAGTTTACTAGAACTAGAGTAGAATAAAACGTAACTCCATGTCCAATAGGTTCCATGTCATCTACCACATTTGAAAGAAACATTAGAGGTGTCCAGATGTTAGATGGGTCTATGGTTATACTATACAAATTGTCAAAAGACCAAAATTCCCACTTGAGTGCGGGGTCAGTCCAATGAAGTAACATAGCTCCCATAATGGAAATAGTTTCGTCAACTTCATTGATGGATATGAAAGAATTTAAGTAAAAATCTACCCCGACATCAAGCTGTTGAGAATGATCAGCTAACGGCATTATCCTTTTCGTGTAGTTTGTTAACAAATGTGAATACAGATTTTGTGCGGTAGCGTGACTTTGACATTTTATTCCAGGAAGGAAATTATAAATTACGAACAAAACAATATTTTTCATATGCATGTAAATTATCATAAAGTCAATTCATCTAAAAAAAAAATCTTTCACTTTAAAATCCTTGCATGAAATTTATCACCGCCGATAAAGGTAGTTCCATTAATACGATTTCGGTACGTCACATCATCGTCATCTGATAATTTAATTATAATTGATGATTGGAAATTCCGAAAACAATCCATATAGTAATATGTGTAAACAGTTAAATGAATCACATGCAATAATAGTAATTCAGTATTCACTACGAGCTTTTAAAATCACAATATAAAGAAATTACGAAATAGAATAAATCCTCCTTTAAACTTAAATACACTTAACAATTGTAATATTAAACGTGACACTAATCACTGGACACGATCGAGTTCACACTAAGTAAAATGTTATTAATTGAAATACGAAATGTTAAAGGGGCATTAGCTACGATTTAAATACGAATCTTTTTGTTTCAAATATTTATAAAAACGAAATCCCGCGGAGAGAAGAACAAACATTTGCTATAATCAAATTTGAAGATATAACATTGTTGGGCTATATATATATATTTATTCTATATCATAGAAGTCAACACCGAGTGGGATACCATGGCGAGAAGGAGAAGAGAATATTTTTGGATCCACCAACTCCACACTTTAGAACCTGATGGTCTTAACGAAAAAGATGAGAAAACATACAGGAAAGATAAAGAATAATTTAGTACACAGCATCGTCCTTTTTATCCTGTAATATTGGCCAATGGACGTTGCTAACTTCAACTACCAATTTTGTAAAAATCTTGAACTTCATCCAAATTATGTATTATTTTCAAGGCAGCTAAATTCAATCGCAACATATACATTGAGCATTTCACCTGGATAGATCCACGCTTGATAAAGCTAGTTAGTCTAGCGAAATATTGCGTTTATTTTCATCATTTTGTAAATATTTTAAACATTCTTATATTTACATACTAAATAGTGTGTTAAAATTACATTGTTAGGCAATCTATATATATATATATATATATATCAAATTGCAAAACGGAAAATTGTAATTATGTTCTAACGTATGGAACTTCCAAGTTGCAATAAGTTGGTGAAACTGAAACACCATTTAACATCCGACTAAATAACCATCGGTCATTCTATGCAAAAGAAAGAAACTGACCAATCACAAGACATCTTTTAAGAGCAGGACATGATTTTGAAAACGTCACATTTCAAATTATTGAGAAAAAAAAATTGGGATACACAAGGAAGACAAAAGAGAGAGAGAGAGATTTTGGATGCACCAGTTACGAACTCTTGAACCTGATGGACTCAATGAGAGAGACGAAAAAAGATTTAAAAACAAATCAAAATTATAATCTTGAAATCATACCAATTAATTTATAGAAATTCATACAATTTATCGAACATCAATAAATATGTTAAACTTTTACTCCAACTTTATGTAGTTGAAGCTACAAACATATTTTTTATAGAACATCAATAAATATGTTAATTTTTTACTCAAATTTAGTGTAGTTCAAGCTACAAAAATATTTTTTTGTCATGCATCCGATTTCACATTGAGAGATGCACACGCCTGATGAAGCTAATTTGTTTAGCGAAATATTGCGTTTTTCTATTTAAAATCTTATAGAACTTTTTAATGAATTAATTAGCATGTTTAAGTTATATTCTTAGACATTTATATAATTTTAATTCAGTAACTGTATCAGTTTATTTTCACAAACTGATCCACGCCTAAATAGATTGGATGTTGATTGTTGCTATTTTAGACATAATATATATGTTTTCAATTCAGACTTTTATAAATATATATATATATATATATAAAAGACCAAAATGAGTGAAAAAGTATATTTTAACAAAACGCATTTGACTAGCAGGTCGAACAACTGATGTTCTTAAACCCTGCTGACTGCCATTGGCGATTGCCAAATAAACGGATCACAAGATGTAACAAAATAGATCTTTTAATTATTTACTACCAAACAGAAAACAATGAACTTGCGGAAAAGATGGTATACCGCAAACACGAGGTGCAAAAATTTGTACACCATATCCGGATTTCGACAATTAATGTCTCTTCAGTGATGTAAGGAATCGAAACGGTATTTGGAAGGCCATATAATTTACCTCAATTTAGAATAGACTCTTGAATTTTGAAAGAGTCAAAATAGGATGAACGGATCATATAAACCCGAAGGCAAATATAATACAAGCCCAAACGAAAAAATATAAACAAGTCTAAATTGAAAACAACGTTCAAACCTATGATTGCGTTGGATAAAAACTGCAAGTTTTATACGTGTGCATGCAAAACAAATTTCTTGGTAGAGGGGTCTAAATACAGCACAAACAACATTTTCCAAAAGACCAAAATGAGTGAAAAAGTATATTTTAACAAAACGCATTTGACTAGCAGGTCATATATAGGTTTGAACGTTGTTTTCAATTTAGACTTATCTATATATATATTATATACATAATTACTCTAAATATCAGCAGAACAATGTTAAATCTGCGGAAGCAAATTTTTGTTCTTCCCTTGCCGGGATTCGAACTCATGATATTGGGATATCGAGACGACAACGCCTGCACTGTGTCCATTGCTCTAAACCACTCCACCACCTACACTGAACTCTAATAATTCTGATTTCGATGGCCTAGTGTTACCTTTCCTCGTCAGTAGAATCTAGAGTTGTAACACAGTACATGATATATTAGGCATGAAGATGGAATCGATTGCAGATGAGCTAAATTATCTATCGCAAATGATCGTAAGATACAGTCACAGAAAGCAGTACGTCTAAACAAGTGACAACTATTTATATACCCGACGTGTTCAGCTACTAAAAGGAAAAAAAAAAGTAAACATTTAAAGTAAAAAAATGGTGACATTCTTTTCACTGATCCACAAAAAAACCCCAAAACATTCTTATATAGATAACTACGATGATTCACTTTTATTTCTTTAACCTATAACATGAAATTAATCAGAACTATTAAAAAAACAATTGCACGTGGACGCTATCTATTTATATCTGTGTTCATGTTTATATCGGGTTATATGACCGTCAGCAGTCTTCGGAGGTCACCTCGATGGTTAATCAGGTGGCTTCTAGACTAAAATTCACATGAAATGCTGATATATAATATATTATTGATTCCATGCATTGTTAGTTGTTTGTTTTAGACTGATTTTAATTTTGATATATGTTTTAGTATGTTCTAAATGAAGTATGAGAATGTGAGTCAAATCAGTGAACACGAAAATGACGGATAATGCCCCTTTGATTTCAGCAATAATGTGCATTATTTGAATTATAGTGGTATTGGGTGACAAGTAAAGAAGGGCGTCGACAAGAAGGTTTTCCTTATCCTAGTATCGCAAATAATTCTCTCTTACACAACTTTAACTGTTACACACCACAAAACAAATGTAAATACAGTGATATTTATACTTATAACAGCTTCTTGATTCCTTTCACGTAAGCCGATTTGTTCAGGCTAATTGACTTTTACACCCCTTTCAGTGTATTAGTTTATGGACTGTGTATTGAATCTGAACTATTACTGTAAACACGTACATATTAAACGAACTGAGATATCCATACTCTAGCGGATGGAGCCAACGGATCATCACTATCAAGGAATAGAAAAAGAATCAGCACGGAAAAAAGTCGTCGTTTATCATAAATGTTGGTATACATTTTACCATGAGAAATTATAATATCAAGGTCCGAAAAAGGACATCAATCATTATTGTTGTTTGATTCAGTAAGTAAATTTCGTTTGTTTATTAAAAAAAATCTTCAGCCGACGATAAATATCTCCTTACAGGTTTTGCAATGAAACGTAACCAACGGCTAGGATGTGTTCAAAGACATCGTGTATGTGATATATTATTACCCTGATTAAGAATGTTTGATTAAGCGGATAAGAAATTGTATCGCCCGACTAAAAAACGACATTTTCTGTAACCAAGTTAGTCGATTTGTCTTTGTCTGGAAACATTATTAGGTCAAATTCCGCTGAAGGAACGATTTTAAATTGCAGTTATGAAAATTAAGTTCTATATTGTTGGACTGATCCAAGACGTTAGAATATATTGTAGAAATCCTGTACAACCATGGCCCAGCTACCAATGGGAAACTGTTTAGTGAAACCCTACGCAACCATGGCCTGCCTACTAATTGAAAATGTATAGTAAAACCCCTGTGCAACAATGGCATGGCTACTAATGGAAAATGTATAGTGAAAATCCTGTGAAATCATGGCTCGCCTTCCAATGGAAAACTGTATAATAAAACCCCTGTGCAGCCATGGCTTGGCTACTAATGGAAAAATACGTATCGTAGAATTGTTGCAAGTAAAGAGGTATATCCATGATTCGATTAGTTAAAGGCCAATTTTAAGCATGAATTCTCGCGTAAAATTTATCAAGCTCTAAAATCGTTATCTAATACACATTTCTGTACATTGTGTCGGTTTTGAAGTGGTTGCAGAGTTTTAAGCGGGACTATATATCATTCATTTATTGTTGCTTGCCAATTATTCAATACGAGATGAAAACAAAATAATGACATCAAAAAGTATGTACCTGACAGTTGTTATATTATGATCAAAATTGGAACTTCCACTAGAAAATATAGGGAAAGTAGGATATAATTGAAATTTGACAATGCAACATACAACTTACGGACCAAAGAGTAATTGCAAGCGGATTATAAAGTATAGAGAACTTGGTACTCTTTCAATATGGTGCATCAAATTTAACGCGTCCATTCCAACCAGACGGACAATCTGTTTAAAAAGGTACATCAAGCGCAGTCAAACAATTTACTGGCACACCACTGATTAAATATACACTAGATATGAGGTAAAGAAATATGGTCACCTAGACGTTCCATCCCGGCTGTTTAAACCACGCTAAAAAGGGGCGTCCGTTAACTGATGTGGGATGGTATAAGTTGACAATCTGTCCGGTCAGAATGTCATTAAATCCGATGGCTGATTCAGGAAGAGTGTCATTCTGTCTGTACGTTAAAGAAACTTTGCAACTATTCTTTGAGCCACAAGTTGCCTGTTGCAAGCCATAATTTATATAAGCGAGAGGTTTGGCTAACCATAAAACCAGATTCAACCAACCATTTTTTTCTTGAAATGTCCTGTACCAAGTCAGGAATATGGCAGCTGTTATCAAATAGTCCGTTTCTATGTATGTTAGCGTTTGTTTTTGTTGCACTTCAGTGTTTCTGTTGTTCCGTTGTTTTCAACTTATAGTTGATGTGTTTCCCTCGGTTTTAGTTTGAAACCCGGATTTGTTTTCTCTCTACCGATTTATCGATTTATGACTTTTGAACAGCGGTATACTACTGTTGTCTTTATTTATACCCAATCTAACATTACCTCTTTTTCCAGTGGTGGTAAACATTGCTTTTTAATTGTTCTTATATTGGCCACTTGATATGAATAAAACCAATAGCGCCAATAATCCGATAACTGGTTTTGATGATCGATAGTACAAATTAATCTCTAACAGACAGTAAGAATGTATATGATGGCATGCATTGGTTGCAGTGGGTATGTAAACATATGTTTATGCAGAAACTGCTCCAACAAAGTTATGAGGAGGACAGATTAAAAATGACACTCCGTAAATTTTATGGACACCATCACGAATTGGTTGTATCATACGATGTGTCTTTGTCCAAACTAACAAAGGACATTTTTACCACGTGTTAGATTGTTGTTTGCCATTACGTCGTCTGATCTTTTAAGTACCGAACGTGACTTATTCCCGATTGTGAAGGTTTTGCTGAGTGTGAATTCGCATTGCTATAAGACGTGTCACTGTATTTTTCTATCCAAAATCCATGTATTTAGTTTTGATGTTATATTTGTTATTCTCATCGGATTTTGTCAAATGTCTTATCGTTTGTAGTTGTAAATCTTATTTTTTTCTGTTCTATTTGTGTGTTACGGTAAAGATAATTAATCACCTAGTTCATTTATAAGATTTTAGTTT